AACGAACTTAACTAAGCGTCACGGGGTAACTACTCGTTCTTCTTTTGAGGCTATCCATGAAGGCTTGTCACTGCAACCAGTCACACAAACTCAAGTACAGGGACACAGAAACTTACACAAAGGCAACATACGAATTTACTGGGACAACACTCCCAAACCTTATGTATTGAAGCTCTCTACAATTTACAAGGAACTCAAAGCAAGAACGCTCTCTGTCTCTCAAGAATGCGCAAGCACTCCTATTTATTCAAGAAGTATGGGAAATAACACCCTCATCTGCCAAAGAGCTGTTACACACAATTTGTCTATTCTCTTAGTCAGCAAGGTTGCCTCTTTGTGTAACACTTGGCAGATAATTCTACCTATTCAGTAACTGTTGTAAAACTGCTCTTATCTACATGCATACGGACTAGAATGTGGCTAAGAACACCCAAAACTACCTCTCTCAGACTAAGTCATGTTCAGCAACTGCTTTGACTGAGTCGTGCAACAGTAATTACTCACATTCTCCTTGTCAAATGCATTGAGCAACAATGTGTCAATCATGTGCCCACAATTCAGCAGTCAATCTTGCCCACGAACCATTGTGCATATTGGGTCAAACTCATGCCATGTAATTTGAAGTCATGCACCAACATTGTTTCAATTGAACCCATCACGTGCTGTCATGCTCAACTGGGTGGTTTGATGTTGCCACAGTCTGCACTCATCTATCAAACCGCTTAGCCTCATCACCTTGATTTCATCTCATGACGTGCCTTGGTACAAGGTGCCACCAAGACCACCATTGTACACCTAAGTCAGTTAGGGTGTGACACTAGGGTAATATAGCGGTCAATTATTGAGACTCGATGTAAACTCCAAAACTCAATCTTCTAATTTCAAAATAAGAAATTCAGCCAATACCCCCAACTTTATTATAAGAACCTAACTAGGTTTATTGATTTGATTAGCTTAAATTACAGGTGATTTTGTATATTGATTTTACATGCTTACGACGAGTGTTTTTTTTTTATCTGATAACGACGAGTTTAAATGAGTACATGTTATTGAAATAACTTTCAATTATAATATAATATATACAGATATATCTATATGTATTTTATTGTTGGTCCATAAACTTTTTTTTTCTCCACTCCTACGTTTTGAAATGAGCATTTATTCATGTCAACATTGTCATATTAAAAGCACTCGTGTTAGGGTCACAACCATTGGATTTCCACTTCAATTATTTTATTTGGGAATACATTGGCGGATTAATAGCCTACCGAGAGTACCCCAAGGTATGTTCTGGGGCAGAACGACCTTACGAGGTGTGGGGACACTTATCCCCACTGAACTTTTGATCGACTCCACATATGTCATATTAGAGACTTCACTTTATTCAAATTTAATACACTTAACCCCCTTAACTTTTTGAGGATTAATAGTGCTTCACGTCTTTCTTTTTGTTTTTAAAACAACTTAGTGGCTCATCGTCACATCGCCCACTTGAAACAAAATGTTTTTTTTTTTGGATTGAGGAAAACAAATGTGAAATGTCCTAAATTGAATATATGTTGACTAAAAGTAATACATATCTTCTATCTAATCTAGTACCCTTTATTTTTTAAAAATAACATTTTTGCGTAAATAACCCACAATTCTATAGTACATAATCAAAAGAAAAAGGTAAAATGCCTCAACTCAAAGAATTCTCTACTCTTCCTAGAATCAATTTCTTAGTAAGATGGAGAACAATCTCAATTATGCTTCACAACAAAAGAAAAAATAATTTTATTATGGAATTTGTTATTGTCTTACACTTAAAAAGAAATTAATGTGAAATTTAGCTTAAAATCAATCATTAGAGCCTATTTTTGACATTTAAAAGTTATTTGTTGATCATTTTTAAACAAAATTTTATGTTGTAGTTTTGTATAGTAATTTAATATTTGATTCTATCTAAATACACTTTGTTATGCTTGAACTTGAAATTTTTTGGGTCAATTAGTGAATTTATTTTAGTCATTTTCACCCCTTGTAAGAGAGAATCCTAGCTCCGCCCTTGGATATGTTAATTGAAACATAATTAATCAAAAAATAATAATAATTAGCACATGCTTTGTAGGTGATAAAAGCAACTTTTTTGCATTACAACTAGTGCAATGTCCATAAAGGTGGAATCATACCTTGTTAATGGGCGAATGCATCCAAAAGTTAGGGGCATCAAAACAAACAAATCAACCTATNTTTCAATTATAATATAATATATACAGATATATCTATATGTATTTTATTGTTGGTCCATAAACTTTTTTTTTCTCCACTCCTACGTTTTGAAATGAGCATTTATTCATGTCAACATTGTCATATTAAAAGCACTCGTGTTAGGGTCACAACCATTGGATTTCCACTTCAATTATTTTATTTGGGAATACATTGGCGGATTAATAGCCTACCGAGAGTACCCCAAGGTATGTTCTGGGGCAGAACGACCTTACGAGGTGTGGGGACACTTATCCCCACTGAACTTTTGATCGACTCCACATATGTCATATTAGAGACTTCACTTTATTCAAATTTAATACACTTAACCCCCTTAACTTTTTGAGGATTAATAGTGCTTCACGTCTTTCTTTTTGTTTTTAAAACAACTTAGTGGCTCATCGTCACATCGCCCACTTGAAACAAAATGTTTTTTTTTTTGGATTGAGGAAAACAAATGTGAAATGTCCTAAATTGAATATATGTTGACTAAAAGTAATACATATCTTCTATCTAATCTAGTACCCTTTATTTTTTAAAAATAACATTTTTGCGTAAATAACCCACAATTCTATAGTACATAATCAAAAGAAAAAGGTAAAATGCCTCAACTCAAAGAATTCTCTACTCTTCCTAGAATCAATTTCTTAGTAAGATGGAGAACAATCTCAATTATGCTTCACAACAAAAGAAAAAATAATTTTATTATGGAATTTGTTATTGTCTTACACTTAAAAAGAAATTAATGTGAAATTTAGCTTAAAATCAATCATTAGAGCCTATTTTTGACATTTAAAAGTTATTTGTTGATCATTTTTAAACAAAATTTTATGTTGTAGTTTTGTATAGTAATTTAATATTTGATTCTATCTAAATACACTTTGTTATGCTTGAACTTGAAATTTTTTGGGTCAATTAGTGAATTTATTTTAGTCATTTTCACCCCTTGTAAGAGAGAATCCTAGCTCCGCCCTTGGATATGTTAATTGAAACATAATTAATCAAAAAATAATAATAATTAGCACATGCTTTGTAGGTGATAAAAGCAACTTTTTTGCATTACAACTAGTGCAATGTCCATAAAGGTGGAATCATACCTTGTTAATGGGCGAATGCATCCAAAAGTTAGGGGCATCAAAACAAACAAATCAACCTATATATATTATAATTAATTGTATGGTTAGGTGAATGATATTGTCTATGAAAACCTAGTCAATGTTCAGATCAATGACACATTATAAGATTCTAGTAGGTCTTGCACATGAGTAGTATATGCATAATTATATAGGAGTCGGATAGGGAACGAGTGAGAGAGAGATTTAAATAGGGCTACTAGTCCAACGAGTTCGAATCGAACTTAAAAAAAATTTGTTTCTTAATCAAACCTAAAAAATTGTTCAAGTTCAGCTCGTTTAAGAAACGAGCCGAGCCTGAACGAGCCAAAAATAAGTTGAGCCCGAATATTTGCACATAAATGAACCAAAGTCTGTCTAGTTTGAGCCGAACTTGTAGGACTTATTTTCTAAACAAGTTTAAAAATATGTTCAAATTTGGGGTCATTTAAAAAATGAACCAGACTTGAACAAACCGAATCTGAACTGAACTCAAATCAAACTAGAGTAACTCAATTCGATTAACAACCCTAGATTTAAGTGCAATTAACAAGGAGTGACGAGTAATTAACGCAAAATAATATCCTACTCAATGAACCATTTGGATTTTTGTTGTCACTGCCCTTTTTTTTTCTTTGTTTTTTTTGGTTTGGTGCATGGCTTTGCTTTCGACATTTAACTTTGACAATGTTATGCAACTATATCATTTCACTTGATTACTTCATATATTTGTCAAAGATATTATAATGACACCACTTTTGAAAAAATGGTTAAAAAAGAATGTTCCTTATATTTATGCTTATGTCATTGTTGTACCCTCAACCCTAACCTTATTCCTTGCTCTCCGCCTCCCTCTCGCTCTCCCTCTCCCTCTCAAGTTGGAATAACCACACTAATTGAAATTTTTGTACAACAATCCACTACCACCCCTCCTCCTCATCGAATCCCATTCTAGAAATGCTCGACCGGTGACCACCACCTCCCCTATCAGAAGCTTCTTTGAATGTGTGGCCTCTACCACCAACATACTCATACATCTTCCTATATATATAGACTTAATTTTTAATGATTTTGGATCAAGTGAAAATTGAGTTAGTGTTAAATTGTTCGTGTTATATGAATCACAAGTGCAAAATAAATAATTGTGAAAAAATGAAAGATGTCAATGTTTTCTTTTTCTATTGGTAGGTTCGATAAAATGACAAAACACCACGAAGAAACTAACTAAAATTTTAACAGTTCATCAATGAAATTTTCTCATTTTTCACTTTTATATCACTTGATTTTTCATATTTTATCTTTCCATCATAACTTATTCATTTCTCATTATTTTAGACTAATAACAACACTATCTTTTGATTTTGTCAACTAAAAAGTTTAATTAGGGATCGATTAATTCAATAAATTTATTTTTTTAACGGTAACAATGAATTGTTAACCTTTAACTTTAGTTTTGCTTATGATGTTATAGTTAGACTTAAACTACTTATGCTAAAATGGGGTCCAATCATTATGTTAAAAGAATGAATGACTTCCACCATTTCATTATTTCAACCTAAACCTAAACAGTCTTGACAAGACCATAAATTGGCACCAAATACACATCAACCTGAACCGAGCGCATAGTAAAGCTCTATGCTTTTCCAATGATAGCTTGCTATGTCGCTGTTCTAAGCAAAATCTCTTACTAAACTCTAATTTATTTATTTATTTTATGGATTTTGGGTCTCTCTCTCATCCTAACGCTTTCTCTTTAGATTTTAACCGTCCTCTAAGATTCTCATGATTACCCGCCAACTGAATGTCAAAACCCTCCACAGGATACCCAGACAACGGTCAAAAACATTCAAAAACTTCCACTCTGTTCGACATGAAGACCAACTGTTCGATAAAACTCCTAAACCAAACCTCGTCTTTGTCCACCATTCTTTGCTCAAATCTTTGCACCAAAATCGACATTATGAAGCTCTTGGTATCTTCAAGAAACACCTTGAAATGGGAATTGCTAATATTGATGAAGTTGCAATTGCCATTGCCGTCAAGGCTTGTCGTGGAGACCCGAAACTCGGGTGCCAAATCCATGGATTCGCCATAACAACTGGATTTATGTCATATTTAAGTGTCTCAAATTCTTTAATGAACATTTATTGTAAATCAGGACAGCTAAATCGGGCTTCAAGTATTTTGGAGAACTTGGATAACCCCGATATTGTTTCGTATAATACCTTACTTTCAGGTTTTGAAAATGGCGAAGATGCCTTAAGTTTTGCCTGTGGAATACATTCAGTTGGAGTTGTTTTCGATGCAGTGACTTATACTACAATACTTGCTCATTGCACGGACCATGAAGAGTTTCATTTTGGAACTCAATTGTACTCTCTTGTGCTTAAATGTGGGTTGGAGTCCGAAGTTTTCATTGGGAATGCCCTAGTTACAATGTATTCAAAATGGGGGCGAATAGTGGAAGCTGAAAAAGTGTTTAGAGGAATGCCCAATAAAGATATAGTTTCGTGGAATGCGATGCTCTCAGGGTACACTCAGGAGGGAACTTATGGATTAGAAGCAATTAGTGCTTTTATTGAGATGGTTAGCGAAGGAATGAAGCTTGATCATGTTTCATTTACTGGTGCAATTTCAGCTTGTGGCCATGAAAGAAACTTGGAGCTTGGGAGACAGATACATAGTTTGACTATCAGAAGTGGATATGGAATGCATGTTTCAGTTTGTAATGTTTTGATTTCAATGTATTCTAAGTGTGAGGTTGTCCAAGATGCACAATTGGTCTTCAAATTCATGATTGATTGGAATGTAGTCTCTTGGACAACAATGCTGTCAATAAAAGAAGACGACGCTATGTCTCTATTTAATGAGATGAGAAGGAATGAAGTTTATCCAAATGATGTTACATTTGTTGGACTAATTCATGCCATAGCAACCAATAATTTGGTTCAAGAAGGTCAAATGGTACATGGGTTTTGTATAAAGACTAGCTTTTTGTCAGAGTTGAATGTTGCTAATAGCTTCATTACCACGTATGCCAAGTCTGAGTCCATGAAAGACTCAAGGAAAGTATTTGGGGAGCTCGACCACAGAGAAATTGTATCGTGGAATGCTTTGATATCAGGGTATGCTCAAAATGGAATGTCTCAAGAAGCGTTGCAGTCATTTTTGTCAGCAATTATGGAATCACAGCCTGACCAATACACATTTGGCAGTGTCTTGAATGCAGTTGGAGCTGCTGAGTCTATTTCTTTAAGGCATGGCCAGAGGTGCCATTCTTATTTAATAAAGCTTGGAATGAACACTGACCCCATTGTTTCAGGCGCTCTCCTTGACATGTATGCAAAGCGTGGGAGCATTTGTGAATCTGAGAGAGTTTTCGGTGAGATATCAGAAAGAAGCCAGGTAGCTTGGACAGCAATAATCTCTGCACATGCAAGGCATGGAGACTATGAATCAGTAATGAGTTTGTTTAAAGAGATGGAGAGGAAAGATGTCAAACCTGACTCAATCACATTTCTTTCTGTTCTAACAGCTTGTGGTCGAAAGGGGATGGTGGATATGGGGCGTGAGATCTTCTACTCAATGGTTGAAAAACATATAATTGAACCAGCCGCAGAGCATTATTCTTGTATGGTAGATATGTTGGGCCGGTCTGGGAGGTTAAAAGAGGCAGAGGACTTTGTGGCTCAGATTCCTGGAGGACCAGGATTGTCTGTGCTGCAGAGTTTACTTGGAGCTTGTAGGATACATGGTAACGTGGAGATGGGTATGAGGGTGGCCAATGCTTTGATGGAGATGGAACCTGAGGAGTCAGGTTCCTATGTGCTGATGTCAAACTTGTACGCTGAAAAGGAGCAGTGGGGAAAGGTGGCCAAAATAAGAAAAGAGATGAGAGATAGGAGAGTAACGAAGGAAGTAGGATTTAGTTGGGCAGATGTGGGTGACATTAATGATTCATTATCTTTGCATGGGTTCTCATCAGATGATAAGTCTCACCCACAGTATGAGGAGATATACAAGATGGCAGAATGGATAGGAACAGAAATGAAATTTTTAGAGAGAGGGCGACAGAACAGTTGTAAAATTTGACCTGATGAGACAGGAATATGTGGAGCTATCAATATGAAGGACACTGTCTTTCTGTCAAAGGAAGCTCTACATTGAGCATTTCCAATGTCCATCCTCTATTCAGCCATTTTGGGTTATGAAGATATGAAAGTCTTTCTCTCTTAAGAAAGGAGAGTTGTGCCACAGCAGCAGGACAACAAAAAAAAAAAACTCATACCACCACAGAAGTTAATGAAAATTTATTCTTCGTAATCTTAACAGGGTTGATCTTTCTTCAATCTGAATGGTAAGGGCCATGACAATACTATCCAGTAATATGCTAATTTGTTTGAACTTAAAGGTTGTTGACTGTCCATAGCATAAAAGAATATTGCAGCCTTTTTGTACTACCAAACCAGGTAGGAAGCTAATGTGTGTGTACAATAACATCCTCGCTACTTGCAACTCTGACGATAACAGGAGGAGGAAGTCTCTATGTTGCAGCCTTAAATCCAGCAGACACCAGTGAAGAGCACAAGCAAAACTGAGACACGGATATTGATATATTCCACAAAAGAGAAACGAGGACGACTGGTATGAATGCCAACCACATAAGCGTAGTGAATTTCCTGAGAAAAAAAATCAGAAGGGCAGAAATCAAATTTTTTATTTATTGAAAACCCTTCGACCATAAAGATAGCGGTTGAATTCAATCTTGACATTGTTCAGTGTGAGCAAAGTTTCTCTACGAAGTCTTCTGAGTTTTTTTTGGGGCAGTTCCATTTCCATATACCCCACTATAGGCAACCTATTTCTCATAGAATTCCCAATTGCATTCCAATGATGCATCAGTCAAGCAAGTTGCATTCCCATCCTTTTCGAGTCTTTCGCAGCTTCCATAACATGATTAGAGAATGAACATTTGACATTAATTATATCATACCTAGCAAATAAAATTCTCGTCTATAGCAGGATTATAAAAAGTTAAATAATAAGCATTCTTACCTCTTTTTCTCAAAAATTCTAAATCTCACTTGCTAGAGTCTAGACTCAATCTAGTGACTTGATGCATGGACAGATATATACTTGATATTGCTGCAAACCTACACAATAGGAAGAATGGTCGCTGCTCTTTAAAAAGAAGCTCTATCATGGATTATAATTCGTATCTTGTCAAAATTTACTCAACTCATACTTAATCCATTTATACTCATAAGTTCATGTCATGTCAAATTCATATACAAATTGTGTAAGTTAATATTAATTAACATGCCTATTTACTGAATGGCCCCTTAGATGCACTGTTACATCCAAAAGAAAAACCTACTGAATGGCCCCATACACGCACTGCTACATCCAATAGAAAAAGATGAGAGAGTAGCGTGGGCGGCAGGATTCGAACCTGCGCGGGCAAAGCCCACATGATTTCTAGTCATGCCCGATAACCACTCCGGCACGCCCACATTTGGTCTGTGCGCCATTTTTAATAACTAAAATAACAATTATAAACAAAGATTATATCTGTGACAAATTTTAATACCATACCATAAAAAAAATATTCGATATAACCATTCAATAATAAGATAACACGTGGGTTGGTGAACACCACATATTATAATAACTATTTTGTTATATTATTTAAAAACCACCCAAGTGAAATTTACTTTAAATTTTAAAGAGATCTACTAATCCAACAATCTTTGTGGATCGTAGCAATGGACCAAAGGGAGACTCATGAATTGTAGTTTGTGCTTCAAAAGATTTAAAAAATATATTATTTTATACCTTCAAATATTAAATTTTTTAAATTATACCTTAAATGTATTAAAAATATTACAATATAATCACTTCGTTAATTTTGGTTGCTCATTCCATTAATGTCAATGAAATTGTTTTGGCCGAAGTAGCAATAGAGACAAACGACTGGGCCACAATATACTATTTTTAGCATGTTAAAAGTATAATATAAAAAATTTAATTTTTAAAAAATATGAAGTGAGAATTCTTTTAATTTTTTGGGAGTTGTTTGGTATGTGGGTTTAAGGGGTTTTGGAACGAGGGTTAGGGAATAAACTCCTTCAAACTTATGTAATGATGTACAAATCAGTTTTGCGCAAGATCAACAGTCAAGAATGTGTAAGGGTGCAATTAATGAGTAGTAAATAAGCAATCAATGATAGAACAATAAATAAAGAAATAACACAGAGCTTTATAGTGGTTCGGTTCGAGTGACCTACTCCACTCTTGAGAACCTGCAACGATGACCTGGATCTTTTATTAATGAATGAATCCGCTGGAAAGAGTATTCTCCAAGAGTATTATAAGTCTTAAAGGGAGAGGGAGAGGGAAACAATGTGTGTAGGAACGTGTAGTCTGTATAGGGATCTCAAGGTGATGAAGGTCTGCCCTCTATGTGCAGAGGACTTTTATTATATAGGTTCACTAAGGCGGTGAAATGAGAAAGGGGGTTTCTACCATTTTAGTAAGTACAATTTTAGTAGGATTGGATCTTCGTATCCCGATATTCTCTCCCTCGTATTCCTTCGGAGGAGGATCTTGAGTTGGACTTCAGTTGGTGGATACTGGACTTGCATTGGAATCAAGAGGACGCAGGACGACAAGAGGGCGACCTTGGGCAGTACCTGGCTTGGATGAACCCCTGGGCGGCGCCCCAAGTGCTTGGGCGTTGGCTCTTGGTGCTGACCTCTTGGGGGTCCGCCTCTTGGGCATCTGCCTTTTAGGCGTTGGTCTCTTGAACGTTGGCCTCTTGGGCGTTGGCCTCCAAGACGTCCGCCTCTTGGACATTGGCCTTTTGACTTGGGCTCCACCTGACTCCTTGTTAATTTACAGGCGGCTTACATGATTTGGACTCTTGGGTTGATCCGGCTTCGGTTGGAATTTTCTTTGTGCTTTCTCGGTTTAATTAGATTGGGCTTGACCCAGTCAAATTCGGGCTCATCATTTGCTCCCCATGCCCTGAGCCTTTGACTTTTTTCGAAAGGAAGGGGTCGAGGGCATGTGCTTCGTTCCATCTGGGTGAGTCGGAATTTTTTTTACTTTTCACGGTATCTTTTCATCCTTGGGGAGTCACTGAATTTTCGATATTGATTTTTTTTTTTGGCCTGGTTGGGCGCCACCCTTTTAGCTTCTCTTTCTTTTTCTTTCTTCTTTTTATTCTTGGCCTGGGGCGCCGCCTTTTTCTTCCCATTATTTTTTCTTCACTTTTTCTTGCCCTGGGTGTCACCTTGCTTCCCATTCTTTTTTCTTCTTTTTTTTCTTGGTTTTCCTGGGCACCACCCTCTGGTCTCTCCCCCTTTCTTTTTTTTTTTTTCTTCTTTCTTCTTGACTGTCCTGGGCGCCGCCCTCTTGGTCACTCCCCCTTTCTTTTTTTTTTTTTTTCCTTATTTCTTCTTGGCTTTCTTGGGCGTTAACTCCTTCCTTTCCTTTTTTTTTTCCTTCTTTGGCTTCCTTGCTCGGGGGCCGCCCTTTGCCTTTTTTTTTTTTTTGGGACAACGATGGAGGATGCTGTGGGCGTCAGGCAAGCAGGCATTTCTGAGTTGGCTGACTGAGTATTAAGACCTTGGATGGCGTGAGCAAGAGAGAATGAGGTAGAGGTCGCACTAACATGCTCCAAATGGGCGACGCTAGGAAGCCTAGGGCACTGTTGTGTTTGGGGGACACCTTGAGTCTTGCTATGGGCGGCGCCTCTCTGGTATTAGTCACTAACTGATCTTATCTCTAATTATAGGCGCCCTGTTGATAGAGCAATGGTGGAAACTCTCCGTTCTTTTAGGGTGGTGTATTTTCCTCCTCCCAAGAGGGCGAGGTTTGATACTCCCAGTACTTCTCAGTCAAGGTCCGATATCTAGGTTACTTTCCAGGAGCGAGATCTAGTGGTGCCCTCACTCTTTCCCAGACTGAGACTTCTGTGTACCAAAGCTAACCCTAGTTTCACTGTAGGAGTTAAGACTCTTGTGCGGTCTTCTATGGGGACTATAATTCCACATGGCTCGGTGTATATGCTTTGACTTGACTTCAGTCAAGGAGTGACTTTTGAGACCTGTGACCTCTAGGATATCAGAGAGGCAGGCACGGGAGGCTACTGAAGAGCAAGTAGGGCTTGGGCGGCAAGCATGAGAGGATGTCTAGAAACAAGTAGGGCTCGGGCGATAGGCACAAGAGGATACCGCCAAGTAAGTAGGGCTCGGGTGGCAGACACGAGAAGATGTCACGGAGTAATAGGGCTCGGACAACAGGTACGAAAGGATTCCGTGGAGCAAGTAGGGCTCGGATGGCAGGCACGAGAGGATGTCACGGAGCAGTAGGGCTCGGACGGTAGGAACGAGAGGATGTCGCGAAGTAAGTAAGGCTCGCATAACAAGCACGAGAGGATGCCGCTGAGCAATTGAGGCTAGCGCACGAGAGGGCTACCCATCTAGAGGCTGACCTTCGAGTAGCACTTGAGATAGCTACTAGGGCAGAGGCTCATTTTATAGAGATGAGGAGGGCGCTGACGAGCTGAGGCTTATTCCATTTGAGATGGAGATGAGGAAAACGTTGAGGAGCTGAGGCTTATTCCATTGAGATGGAGATAAGGAGAGCGTTGAGGAGTTGGGTGCTTGAGGTGTTAGATGTCTGGTGAGTTCGTCTAATGGCATCATGGGGGGTGCCAAATGTGGAGAAGGCGAGACCCCCTGTCTAGACGACATCATGGGGGGCGACTAAGATGGAGAAGACAAGACCCCTCGTTTGGGCGCTGGTGATGGGCGTCTAGTGCTAGGCGTCTGGCATTAGGAGCTTGGTGCTAAGCGCTTTTTATCTTTTTGTTTACCTTTTTGTTAGGTCATAAGCTGTTTGAATGAAAGTAAGACAGTTATGAACACAATAATCTTAGTAAAATTTTATTGTATAAAATAATGAATAACAAAATAAATCAACTGAAACGACAAAAGATAGATAAAATCTTTAGGTGTTCGATGTCCCATAGGTGGGCCAATGTTTCCTTGGCAGAGTTGGAGTCGTATCCTTTTCCTGGCCCTCAAGAGATTGTCTAAATTTCTCCGATGGGTTGCTGGCGTTCTCTGTCATCCTAGTCCCTCCCAGGTGGCGAGGCTTGTCCTCTGTCAGCAACGTACTGCCTTAACTGGTCACGATGTATGAGCTCCTCAATCTGTCTCTTGAGCTTATAGCAGTCAATAGTGTCGTAGTCATGGTCGTTGTGAAAGCGACAGTACCTGCTGTGATTTCTGTGGTTTGGGGTGGACTTCATTTTTTCAGGGCAGCGGAGCGTGGGTTCATCATGTATCTGGAATAGGATGTGCTCCACCGAGGCGTTGAGTAGTGTGAAAGGTTGTCGTTCTCTCGGGGGGGTACGAACCAAGATGGTCCTTGACAAAGACTCTTTCGGTTCTCTTTCTCTTGTTCTTCGCCTCTCACTTGTCTTCGCAGGCATCCTTCCTTCTCTCGCCCTCATGGGAGGACTCACCTCGTCAGGCATTGGTAACATCCTCAGCATTCATGTATTTTTGTGCCCTAGACAGCAGCTCGAGCATGCTGGAGGACGACTTCTTAAGTACGGAGAACATGAAACTGAAGGTGCCAAGACCAGCGATAAAGGCAGTCAAGGCTACCTTATCATCTGGTTCCTCGATCTAGAGTTCCTCCTCATTGAAATGGGCAATGCAGTTTCTGAGACTTTTATCCCTGTCCTGTTTGATTGTAAGCAGGTGGGTCACTAGTGTTTGATGTCGGCGTCCACCAATGAAGTGGGAGATGAATGACCTACTAAGTTCTGCAAAAGAACAGATGAATAAGGGTCGGATCTTTGAGAACCACTGGCGGGTAGACCTCTTCAAGATAGTAGGGAAGACTCTACACATAATCTCCTCAGGCACGTTGTGGAGTTGCATGAGGGACTTATATGTGTCAAGATGGCCGAGAGGGTCTTTGGTGCCATCGAAAATCTCAATGGTGGGCATCTTGAATTTTGAAGGCAGAGGGTAATTGGTAATATCAACAATAAAAAGCATATCAATGTGTCTTACCAAGTAATCTACAGTTTTGGGCGCCTGTGCCTTGATGGCATTGAGAGCATCACAAAGTTAGTTTTGCACCTTCCTAATCTTCTCATCCCAGTGATTGGGGACATCCTCAGTTGGGTGATGGTACTGCCTTTCATGGTCTCCATATTGGTTTCCTCTATCTTCGTTCTCCTGCACTGGTTCATGAGGAGGGGGAACTCGTGAACTCCCTACGTGCTGAGGAGGGACTGCTGGACGAAGGGACGCCCTGACGCAACCCTAGAGTGTTCTAGCAAGGGGCCCCATGGTGGGGGGCTGCCAGGCTCCCAAAAAAGACAGGTTGTTGCTCCTCTCTTGTTGGAGGGAGTGGAGCTCCTCCCACAGGGTGAGGGGTGACGCCCACTTAGGGCAAGCATAAGTTGGATGATCTGCTAGTTTTGGCTCACCAGCAACTACATGGTTTGGAGGAGCTGTTGCTTTTGCTTGGCGGGAGTCGTAGTAGTAGATGGTTCAAACGGTGCGAGGGAAGGCAAAACATCCTCCCGATGAGCCGGGTTATCATCTCTCGGTTGTTAGCTCACTAATCAGGTAATGATTATCATGTATTGAAGGAGAGAATAGGAAAACTAGTCGTTTCCCACAGACTGTGTCAAACTATTGATGCATAAATCGGCTTTGCGCAAGGTCACCAATCAAGAATGTGTAAAGGTGCAACTAATAAGCAGTAAATAGACAATCAGTAATAGAAAAATAAATAAAAAAATAACACAGAGATTTATAGTGGTTCGGTCCAGGTGACCTACTCCACTCTCAAAAAATGGCAGCGGTGGCATGAGTCTTTTATTAATGAATAAATCTGTTGGAGAGAATATTCTTCAGGAGTATTACACGTCTTAGAGGGAGAGAGAANCCGAGAGGGTCTTTGGTGCCATCGAAAATCTCAATGGTGGGCATCTTGAATTTTGAAGGCAGAGGGTAATTGGTAATATCAACAATAAAAAGCATATCAATGTGTCTTACCAAGTAATCTACAGTTTTGGGCGCCTGTGCCTTGATGGCATTGAGAGCATCACAAAGTTAGTTTTGCACCTTCCTAATCTTCTCATCCCAGTGATTGGGGACATCCTCAGTTGGGTGATGGTACTGCCTTTCATGGTCTCCATATTGGTTTCCTCTATCTTCGTTCTCCTGCACTGGTTCATGAGGAGGGGGAACTCGTGAACTCCCTACGTGCTGAGGAGGGACTGCTGGACGAAGGGACGCCCTGACGCAACCCTAGAGTGTTCTAGCAAGGGGCCCCATGGTGGGGGGCTGCCAGGCTCCCAAAAAAGACAGGTTGTTGCTCCTCTCTTGTTGGAGGGAGTGGAGCTCCTCCCACAGGGTGAGGGGTGACGCCCACTTAGGGCAAGCATAAGTTGGATGATCTGCTAGTTTTGGCTCACCAGCAACTACATGGTTTGGAGGAGCTGTTGCTTTTGCTTGGCGGGAGTCGTAGTAGTAGATGGTTCAAACGGTGCGAGGGAAGGCAAAACATCCTCCCGATGAGCCGGGTTATCATCTCTCGGTTGTTAGCTCACTAATCAGGTAATGATTATCATGTATTGAAGGAGAGAATAGGAAAACTAGTCGTTTCCCACAGACTGTGTCAAACTATTGATGCATAAATCGGCTTTGCGCAAGGTCACCAATCAAGAATGTGTAAAGGTGCAACTAATAAGCAGTAAATAGACAATCAGTAATAGAAAAATAAATAAAAAAATAACACAGAGATTTATAGTGGTTCGGTCCAGGTGACCTACTCCACTCTCAAAAAATGGCAGCGGTGGCATGAGTCTTTTATTAATGAATAAATCTGTTGGAGAGAATATTCTTCAGGAGTATTACACGTCTTAGAGGGAGAGAGAAGCAATGTGTGTAGGAAAGTGTAGTATGTGTAAGGATCTCAAGGTGATAAAGGTCTGCCCTCTATGTGCAGAAAACTTTAATTATATAGATTTACCAAGGTGGTGAGGCGGTGACGTGAGAAAGGGCGTTTTTACCATTTTGATAAGTACAATTTTAGTAAGATTGGATCTCCGTATCCCGATATTCTCTCCCTCATATTCAATCGGAGGAGGATTCTGAGCTAGACTTGAGTTGGTGGGTACTGGACTTGCATTAGAGTCAAGAGGACGTAGGAGGACAAGAGGGCGATCTTAGGTGGCACCTGACTTAGGTGAACCCCTGGGTGGCACCCCAAGTGCTTGGGTTGGCCTCTTGGACGTCCGTCTCTTAGGCGTTCATCTCTTGGGCGTCCGCCTCTTGGACGTTGGCCTTTTGACTTAGGCTCCACCTGACTCCTTGTTGATTTATGAGCGGCTCACATGATTTGGACTCCTAAGTTGATCCGGCTTCAGTTGGAATTTTCTTTGGGCTTTCTCAATTTAATTAGATTGGGCTTGACCCAATCAAATTTGAGCTCATCACTATGTTTGATAAATACACATCTAATCCAGTATTTGAAACCTAGTCCGGTCATGAAACTCAAGTTCATGGGTTTCATGAAAACCATGGAGAATGGGTTTCATATGTGAGTTAATGAGTTTAACATCCAAATGACATTTATACCCCTCATATATTTATATCCATGTTTAGATTAAATTGGTTAAAGGATATAATAGTCATTTATATATAAATATATTATCATAATAGTCGTGTATTCATGCGCATACCAAACATGGATATGAACATTATTAAATATTAAATACTATCTTTGAATCCCATTTTTACGTTTAAAAAGGTTTGAACAAGAAAACATACAAAGAGGCCTTCGGGTGTAAATTACGAATCTCACTTAAATTTCTGTTAGTGGGCTCTTGAGCTTATTCGATTTGCGCAAAAACGAGGCCCAATTTTTTTTTCCGTTCCTTCTAATAGTGAGTGCGTTAGCAGCTTTACTGTTCAGAGTCTTCAGACCGGCGTAGAAGAGAGAGACGGCGAGCGAGAGAGAGAGAGAGAGCTATGGGTTGGATCGGGGAGCAAATAGAGTCAATCAAATCCATTCAGATCAGACAACTCATCACTCAAGCTGTTAGTCTCGGTTTGTATCATTTCTCTCTCTCCACCTCTCTCTGTCTGTCTCTCTCTTTACAAGTCGATTCAACGCGTATGTATAGTGTTAACTGTGGTAGTTTATAACTCATTTGATCTCGAACTGTTGATTTCTTTTGAAGAAATAGTTCGTTGCATTAACCTCGAATTCAGATTGAATGTTTGTTTATTTTCTATTTGAGTTTGAAATTAGGGCTTCAGTTATATAACTGTATAAATCTACATCTTAGGACATGTTAGACAAATATGTTTAGTTAATTATGTGTTTTTAAGTTTTCCAGTCTTTATGCACGAGAAAGATTGTAACTTTTGTTTTATCCTTTTTCAGCTATGTCTTTAATTGGCACAAGAGTTTCTTTCTTTCCACTTCGGTGCTTGTTAAACACTATACACCAATTGCTCAAGCCTATATAAAATAGCCGTTTAGATACATAATACTGCTGTTTTAAAACTATGTTCGTCAGTTTGTGAGTTCCCAACCTGCTTTTTGGGGATTCTTATGCAACCAGAAGAGAGAAGTAAAAGGGGAGTTTCATACTTTCATTTCCATCTGACCAGTTGCAACCAATACCAAAAGTTGCTTATTTGATTGGGTGTTTGATGCACAATGACCCTTCCCAGGATGTGAAGTTGCTTATTTGTAGGATGTGAAGTTGCAGTGCTCTTCTTTGTTTACTAGTGTAGAAAGTGGTGTGGAGTTTGTTCCGATTGAAGTAATTTTCCATCTGCATGATGGGCATTTTTAATTTTCATTGTTAACTTTTTTTATGTCTATTTTAATATATACATCTTTTCAATTTGGAAAAAGCATATATACCAAACCTTGTGTTCACAAATTTTTCAGGTATGATTGTGACATCAGCATTGATAATATGGAAAGGGCTAATGTGTGTAACTGGTAGTGAATCACCTGTTGTCGTTGTGCTTTCTGGAAGCATGGAACCTGGCTTCAAAAGGGTGAGTCCTAGAGTAGAATACTCATTGAAGTTGCTTCTGTCCACATATCTTAATTTTAGCTAGGAGCACCAAAGTTGTCAAAATATGTATCACAACATGTAACTTTTTTGAAAAATAATATGTCGTATATCATAATGTATTATGTATCATAACATATATTCAATTTTAAATATGTATAGATAAATATATAAATATATAATCTCCAAAATAATATAAATAGGATTTCATCTCATTCATGGTTTTGCTTGTTAAAAGAAGAACAAAAAAAACAGGAGAAGCATAATAGGATCATAAAAGAAGAAGATGATCGCAGGTTTCGTCTAATTGAGATCAAATCAAAAAATAAAAAATAACTAATTGGAAATGATGTCACTTCATTGTTTAGAGTAAATATGAAATAAAAAATAATAAAGAAAGATTTTGTGTGTATCGCCTTTTCACAGTAACGTAACATATATTCAGATACGTATCTTGGATGTTATAGTGAAAAAAGATACATATCGCCGATATGTTTCATAAGATGCATATCGTTTTTCCACTGAATCACAACGTATCATAAGATATATATTGCATATTGTAAGATACTAACAACTATGAGGGGCACAAAATGGTTGACTCATTTTTTGTTGTTCTAATTTGGACATATTATAATATCTGCCTTTTGCTACTTGAAAGCATGATGTATTCTTTCAACCCATCACTGTGAATTATTCTAATTCAATTTGAAACTTCGTTTGAAGTTTGAACCAGAAGTTATTTTTGATTGGCTGTATATGCACATGGTTGAAACTTAAAACACCTGATGACTCGGAAACTATATGATATGCACTGTCTGATGGAGCAGTTATCACATCCCAGTTTTTGATCCCCTTTTCTATGGTGTATGCCTCCTTAAAGAATTTTCTATGGCTGGATGCTATTTCGTCAAAGACATCTTTCGATACCAATTAACTTCAGCTTTCTTAGTGATCACTTTGTTTATTTCATACTTTTGTTTTTACTTTTGTCTGAAAATGACCATTGCCTATTTTGCAGGGTGACATTTTGTTCTTGCATATGAGCAAGGATCCTATTCGTGCAGGAGAAATTGTCGTCTTTAATGTTGATGTAGGTGCCTTATTTCTTGTGTTTTTTAGGGTGCCATTTATGAATTACTTTATGTCTCATAGTTATTTTCGGACTTGTTTGGGAACATGTTCTTACGATTAGTAGTTTACAAGTCTGCGCGTTAAATGTTAACTAGTTGCATGTAAGCTGAGTTCAATAACATTTTGTCAATGCAACACTTGCGTTGCACAAGTAAAGATAATTTCTATGTATGGGGATGAGAACTGAAAAAGAGTAATGTAACTCCTTTATCTCCTTTAAATATGCTTGTAGGAACTTACCAGTTCCCTTAAAAACAAGATTTCATGTCATTGATCAACGATCATGGGGTGTGAATGCTTAGAATATTCGAGGCTCAGAGCATGTAGTTATCAAATTGTAGAAATTTGGACTCAATACTCTAGCAAGCCTTTTCCTTAAAGCTGAAGAATAAATATTGATATAATTGAAGAAAACCAACCTAACAAAATTTGTCCTAGAAGCAGTGGTGAAATGCTTGGGCTGACTAGGTTCGAATACAAGGACAATCATTTATGCAAGTAAGGTCTTTTTCCCATATCCTTTATTAACGGGAATCAAACTGAATATCGACCTTTAGTATTGCTCAATAACTCATCCAACACTCTGGATTTGAATTGCTCTAGATCATATTTCTCCATGCTTTTCGTTTACTATGGGGTTATAACTTTGTAATGTCTTTGAAGTGGGTACTTTACTTACTATTATTTCATGTGAACTTGTTGTAACCTCTTCATCCTTTTAACTTGTTTCGTGTGTAGGGACGAGAAATTCCTATTGTCCATCGAGTTATAAAGGTAACATTTGGTGAATTCTTTCTCTTTCTCTCTCTTTCTCTCTCTCTCCGTTTTCCACCAAATTTTGATAGTTGAATTTTTGTTTTGTTTCTTTGAAACTGCTATAAGAGAAATCTTAAGTGTTTAGTTTGCGTTAATATGCAGTGGGAGGATAGGGTTGGGGGAAGCAGTGAAATGCTGAGCATGAATACTTTTGGTTGGTTTAATTTGTTTTGATGAATAATGAACAATGGATTTGGGAAGATTTGTCTAAGGCTTATATTTTTCAAGTTGCTAACAATATTTAATCCCTTTAAATATGTCACTTTTTCTTCTTTGTTTTTTTTTTTTAAATCTTTTTATGGTTTTCTTGATCTGAAGTTTTAGTCTTTTTCTTTTTCTGTTCCTGACCGTTCTCCCGTTAGAGAACATGTCCTTTGAACAAACCTTATCATACTTTTGAAACAGCCTAAAGTGAAGCAATTGTGGACATCCAGAAACTGGTGGGTTTGTTTTTCCTGTTTTGTCTTTTCATCATAGGAACAATAGACGCACTAGGCAAGAAAGAATAGGTGAAAGGCATGTATACTGAACTCAACAAAGTTTTGTCAAAACATTTTTGGGGTCAGGTGAAAGGCCTGTATAAGGACCTACCCCTGATCCTTCTTTATGTTGGATTCACACAATTGTCACCTCGATGTCAAAAAAATCAGTTTAATTATACTTCAAGGAGAACATTGAATTCAGAGAGATCTGAACCTATATTGCAATGCAAAAGCAATTGATCCATTGGCTTAAATGTCTATCTTTTTGCATTGATCATTCAATCACTATGCCTTTTTTGTCTTGCTGTGTGTGCACGAGAACACATGCAAGAGAGATAAAAGATGCGGTGCTAAGAAGCACAGATACGAATGACACTGATATGCCGATACGCGAGCAAGGAATTTCTCAAAAAAGTAGGACTCAAACATGTCAGGGACACATCACAACTAATTATATTTCATAAATTATAAAAAAATAAAAAGAATTACATTCAGACCTCTTGAAGTTTCTCACTTAATCATTTAGATCCCTTAATATTTGAAATATTATACACAGACCCCTCAAAGGTTGTGCGCGTGTAATAGTTAGGCCTTTTCCGTCAGTAAATTACACTCAAACTCTCTGAAGTTAACATTTGGGTCTCTCAAATTTAAAATATTATACTTAAATCCCTTATTAGTTACAAAACCAACGGAATCTTTTAAACGACTAAATTATCTCAATTAAAGATAGAAGATATTGTGTCAATTGTAGTTTGATCCCTTATTTGATTTTTTAATATTATTCCAATAGATAGTGTAATTGTACATTAATTATAATTTTTTAAAGAAAAAATAGGATTTTTATTTTTAATTTTATTTCAATAAATGACATAGTAGAACATGAGTTTTGGTTGTAAAATTTAAAATATTTGATAGAAATATTTTTGATCTAAGTATAATATTTTAAACTTTGAGAAGTCTAAGTATTATACGTCTACAAATTTTAGGAGGTCTAGGTATAATTTACTAACGGATGAGTCTAAGTGTTATGTGCACATAAACTTCAGGGGAGTTTGGGTGTAATTTTCTAAATGTTTTGGGAGAATTACTAATTAAATACTTTTTAATAAATATTATGTCTAGTCAACTGATATGCCTTTTTAGACTACCATTCAATCTTTTTTTATAGACTATGTGTAGCAAAGATTCCTTTTCTTTGCCTAAATTTTTATGCATTTCTTGCTTTCATTTGTAAATCTTAAGTACAACTTTAACATAAATAGTTTTAAAAGATGTATATTCTTTCATAATATAATATAGACATTTGTCAAATTTATAAGCTTTGTTTATTATATTTCAATATAACAGACATTATCTAATGGCGTGCTAGACACATTATCAAAGGAGTATCGGATACACCCTTACCATTGTACACATTAACAAGCATGAGTGTCTCGTGGTGGTGTTGTATATTTTTCTTGCTAATATTTTAAGTTGGTTACTGCTCCTGATGCACCTGGGAATCTTTATTATTGTTATTTTTTGTAGGTTCATGAGCGTGAAGATACCGGAGAAGTTGATGTCCTAACAAAAGGTAATAAATCATTTGAGTTCATTTTTCCAAGTAGTTTTTATTACAGGGTCATTTAGTTCGAGCTGTTTGAAGAATTTGAACTTTCTTCTAGTTAATTTTGACCTTTGCATTGCAATATGTTGTTTTGCTATGACTGTTTGAATATTAAAAATTCATTTTGCAGCTAATCTTACTCCGTCAATTTGGTGGTTGATTTTGTCAGGAGATAATAATTTTGGGGATGACAGACTTCTGTATGCTCATGGTCAGCTGTGGCTGCAACGACATCATATCATGGGGAGAGCTGTCGGGTAAGTTGCCATGAGGATCTGTTTTGAAGATTTTTCATATGGAAAACCAAAATTGTTTTCGAATGAATAAGGTTTGAAATATGTAATTAGAGGTTACAAATTTGGAACTACGGGACTAAATTTGCATGTCATTTCTACCTTTTTAAAATTTTAACTGACCAAATGTGAATGATGGCTGCATAGTGTAATTATTTGACTTAGCTTGTTCAGCTCCTTGAGAGTATGGGTTTGTCATACTCGATGCTTCATAACTTCGCTTCCGATGGCATCACTCAGGCTTAACTTTTCTTTTGAACACCGTACTTTTTCTGCATCTTGCTGTCACTCTGCTAATTCTGAGCACTCAAAATTATCTTTGCTATTTGCCCACATGGTTCCCTCGCTTTTTCCAATTATGAAAAATGGAACATGCACTGAGATACTTCTAATTTTAATCTGCATGATTCACATTTTCTCTTCATATCTCCTTTGCAGGTTCTTACCTTATGTAGGTTGGGTGACAATCATCATGACTGAAAAGCCTATCATCAAGGTTTGATCTCTTGGAAGTTTTTGGAGTTTTGAACTGATTTGTACAAGATTTACCTAAGTATAAAATACAATCGAAGCTCAAAATTGCTTTTGCTCCCAAAAAGTACACACCCTTGCAAATATACTCAACGAGGCATGGTCTCAGTCAATATATGCGGCAAAGTTTTACTAACTTGAAATTGCTCCTTTTGCAGTATATACTAATAGGAGCGTTGGGACTGCTGGTCATTACGTCAAAGGAGTAGGGAACTTCAAGGGAGTAGGAAATCAGGTTATTCATAGCTCATAACAGAAATTTTTTTTATTTTAAGCAGATCTTACAGTTATGTTGTAGACTGGTACTTGCATGAAAAGAAAATATTTGTTGGGTGGACCAAATGATGCTCTCTCTCTCTATACATATGTGTGTGTGTGTGTGTGCGCGCGCGCGCACACATTTGCTTGTTGATGAGCTGCTGTTGTGGGTGTAGTTGGTCCTCGTAAGAAAAACATAAGCCTACCACTTATGAAATCCTTCCCCATACCAGGCTTGCTTTTTTTTTTTTTGATTTTTTTTTAACAGTGTTAATACAGCGGAGGGGATTCAAACCAGTGACCACCACAATACAAAGGCGTGTTTAATCACTAGGGTTGGACCGCGGATACCAGGCTTGCTAGAGGGCTACAATTTCAAACTTTGGTATGTTCGGGTTCATATCCAATTGATTTTCACAGATCAAGTTGGACTCAAGTCTGGTTGTCGAGTTTGGATTTTTGCTCACTCGACTTGATTTTAAAACCACTTGCGTTAGAGTTGGCTTGGCCCTTTTTTTTTACACCGAAGTTGAGGTTTAGGCTAAAAAACATGTCTAATAAGATTCAAATCCATAGTTTTTGGATTAGAAATCAGATGTGTAGTTAAGCTAACTAGCTTAAATTTAGTTACATTTAATTCTTTTTCTTGTACTACCAAACTTGAACGCATGAAAGTCCAAACCGATGTAAGCTTGGTTTCCATCAGAGTTAGAATGTTTACAATGAGTTAACACAAGTTGTAAATGGTCATTTCTAATCTATCAACATAGAAAGGTACTGCTGAACAAGATGCTTGTTTGTACATGGCAATGAACCGAGTCATTCATGGTTCAGTTTTGATTCATTCAAACTCATTCGAGATTAAAATGTACCGAGTATGACTTAATTTCTAAGCTAGTTTAATATTCAAGCAAAGGTAGTTTAGATTCGTTTGAACTTGTAGAACAAAAATAATCCAAGCTAAGGATATGGTCTAGAAATCATCTCTAGTTTGAGCATGAATCTAAGCTCGTGCAGCGGACATGAGCTTGTGATAGTTATCTCGAGCAGAACCTGAACATACAAAGTTCAACTATGAGGACACTCTGCACAATGTAATCAGAATGACAGGATAAACAAGACACTCAACTAGAAGGAGCTAAACGCGTGGCATGAAGTGCAAAATGAAGGGTAAAAATACAAAATAACCCCTGCTGATATGCGGCTATTCCAGGCAAACATTTAATGAATCCCCAAATAATGTGACATCCACAGTGGCTTGAGAAGCCGAGGATAAGGGGTATTAAATGTCATGGGCCCCTAGGATTTAAAGTCTTTACATCAAAGAAAGAGTATTGATTGTTTAGATGTCCGAGCAATTAATATTGGGAGAATCCCCACACAAAGTAGGGGGCACACTGTCCCGCATCCAAACACTACCTATTATCTAGACCGCAAGCAATTATTAATTTTTGAAGGTATAAATAATCCTGAAAAACACATTACAAAGATACGCAAAATCACTCATCAGAAGTCGTACAATGTTTTCTTCTTCTTCTCTCTCAAAGAACTGACTTGATCGTTGGAGGGGATACGTCGAAAAATACTCTGACAGCTTTCTAACTTGTTTTTCGTGTTATAGGAACCCCTGCAACGCACCGAAACCGGTCAAACAGCCCCTGAGATAACTCGTCTTCACTCCTTAGGTTCCTCTGACCATATATCCTCTTCATTTGTCACAGGATCATCGACTTTCTCAACGAATACGAGTTCACCGCGGGAGAGATCTGTCATTTATCTATATTATGCGAAAATCATCACGCACATCTAGGAAGATATATTATCGAGAATCTGGAAAAACATCCCATACACGAATAGAAAACATCACAGCAACAGCCAAGGCAAATTATCCAGAAACCTATCTTTAGTAGACTAGGAAGTATGATCTGAAAGCAGCTAGAAGTTGTTCGACCGAATATCATACAAAACATTGTATGCACCGTTATATAGGACTATATCACTTAAGTTTCACGTGAAAAATCAATGATAACGACAATTGCAGAAGCAATCGCAGCTGAAATTAGGCACAAATTCTGTGACTATGGAAGCCACCAGAAGTAGTACCACAAGGTCAGCTTCTGCCAAGATCCAGACTCAAAGAAGATGCCAAGATGCATCTTTCATCTCTTCAATGAAAATCTACCTAGCCAGCCACATTCTTCTAAACAAACATGGTGAAACACTACACCAACCAGGAAAGCTGTGACAAAGAAACAATATGGATTCTAAGCACTGGGCTTATTCATCAAAACATTATTTGGGGTGTAGAAGTCATGTAACTATCAACTTGATTAAATCAAATGTAGCAGGGACTACACGATGTCACCATAAACCATGTATAGAAGATTGTTTACAATTTATACTGCCAGAAAATAAAGAATTTTTACTTTCCAAACAATAAATAATAAGTACCAAAGCAGTTTAAGATCTCTAAGAAACTACACACCACACCTGCCCCAGTAGCAGGCAACCGGCTGTAAACTAATTATATAAAAAAGCAAATTATTAACACATGGCAGCAACAACATGCGACTGGCTAAACAACCTTTTTATGAAAGCTAAAGTCTTGTTATTTATAGATGTCAAGCTTACAGAATTAGTTGAATACTCTATTTATTTGTGAAAAAAGGAAGTGCAAGAATAAAACGGTACCTTCAGGCCATGAATTCCCTAACAAATACATATTCCTCCATTTTATCAGAATAAGTTAATCATCCATTTGTTAAAAGCTGAACAAAAATCATGTCCCTTAACATAGCTTCCCGAGCAACGATGATCAAAGAGCTTGCATATCTAAAAGGAGATACATTGGTGCAGATGTTAATATTATGGTAAAAATAATCAAAACATACACAACCATGGTAAAATAGGATGAGATGCATAACATGAGTTAGCAACTTGTAACCAATATCAATATAAAACTACATAAACTTGCACAGTAATGGACAAGTATTCTTATGGGATACCAAAAACTTTCACATGGAAGTATTGAAGTACAAAAGGAAAAGATTAGGAAGACAAATCGTAATTTGCATTCGGTGATCAGGCCACCATCTCAAATTTTTTCAACGCATCACAATTGGGTGTTTCCCGTATCCAACCCCATTGACGACGCTGCAACTCGAGCCCGCAATTCTGCACAAGAGCTGAGTAGTAGTCCTTCTCAACCCTCTGCTCAATTGCCATGCGTTCAGGACTATTAGGAGGATACTCCTGCTCAAACTTCCCCGAACTCACATAGAATTCAACACCCTTTTGTGTAGTAAACCAATGCTCATACGGATATATTCTTGAAAAACTGTAAATTGGCTCTGAGGATGGCAAAAAGTTCAACAACAGTATCAAAATCACAGGCAACAATTGAATTAAAGCACGAAGATTGAACCCATTGGCACCCTGATCACCAGTTCTAGCACCCATTCCAGGTCCAAAACTAAACCCCTGAAATTGAGTTGTTGCTGCTGGGTGCATTCCTCCAAAGAAGAAATTCCTGAAAATCTCATCAGCATCAAAATGAGCTTCATAAAACCCATTAAATTCTCTCCCTCCACGCCTAGTGGGGCGCCTTTCGTAAACAGGCTCATCATGCCCAACAACATCATATTTTTTCCTACTCTCTTCATCACTCAAACACTGAAACGCCTTGGAAACCGCCTTAAACGCCTCTTCGGCACCAGGTGCTTGATTCTTATCAGGATGAACTTTCAATGACAATTTTCTATACGCTTTTCGAATGTCCTCAACAGTACAACTCCTCTCTAACCCTAATATCTCGTAATAATCTTTTTTCCTCTTAATCTCTCTCACAATTGAGATCTGCTCTTCGGTATAAGACACCGAATCGGTCGATGAAGCCGATGCCGAAGACCCAGTTGTTGAAACCCTACGGCGAGGCCCATCATCAGAAGTTTTCGATGGAATTTCTTTGGTGGGTGCATTGGACTGTGATTGAGCTTCGACTTTAGATAACAGTTCATCAACTGATAGAGATGGATCGAGCCGACGAGCTTTGTTGACGAATTTCAAAGCTCGGGTTCGATCACCTGATTCAATTGCGTTTTGGGCGATCTTCAAGCATTTCAAAGCCTCGTCTTTGTTACCATCCATGTCTCAAATTCACCTAAATTGAACCAACAAAACCCTAAAAACCATACATATATATAATAGTATATGAGAATGGAGTAAACAAAAATGGGAATTGAATTAGGGAATTGGATCTTACAGGTGGATTAGAAAACCCTCGTCGCGGATTGATCGATTGGGATTTGGATGATGATGATCAGTTTAGAGGGTTCATGAGTTGGCTCTGTTTGGAAGGAGTTTGTTCTTTTTCTTCGTGGAGACAAACTCCAATTGAGAAAAAGAGTAGTTTTGGGTAAAAGGAGTATTGGAATATCTGTGGAAACGTCGTCTATCCCTCATTTAAACCCGCTGATGGGACATTTTCGAAATACTCTAAGATGAAGACACATGTCTTCGGTGTCACTGATCCTTGTTATTAAAATCACGTACCCATCGAGTCACAAGTCCCCTCTATCCTGAGATACTTATCATGGAATCGAGTGACATCCAGTACGTTTTTATATACCGACACGTACCCTCGGTCTGATATGATACATCGGTCGCTAGGCCTCCCCTCTCGGATTCAAGATGTACCTCTTCCTCGGCTCCGAGATGTACCTCTTCCTCGGCTCTAAGATGTACCTCTCCCTCGGTACCGAGATGTACCCCTCTGATCCAGAATGAAGTTCTCTGCTCCAGTAGAGGCTATTGATGCACTGGTCACTAGCCTAAGCTAGGCTAGGTTAGCTATCATGACCTCGTCTTACACAATCGATGTCATAAGGCACAGGAAAGAATGAGCCACAGCCAATGAGGAATGGACGCGTGGCATATTGTGTCACATCAGAGATAGAAATACCGCATGGCCTTGCTGACACGCAACTTGGGAAAACGAGCATTTAATTACGTCATTCCCTTGATGAGACTGCATTCAATGCAGTAAGGCTCAGAAGTGAAAAGCAATAAATGCCTCTAAGGCTGGACATTTATTGTGTCCTCCCCGAGGGGAGCTCATTGAACAGTCAGCAAACCGATGACACAGTATTGATTGCTCGGGATCCCGAGCAGTTAAAAGAGAAGACATTCTTCATCAGAATCAGTGCGCACACTATCTGTACCTAATGATCACCTACTGACTACACTGACAGCAATCATGAGATTTTGATGTATAAATACTCATCGCAAAAGGCAAGATGGTATGCAACAAAAAACTTTTGCTACAATACATACTCAGTGTTTTCTTCTTTCTCTCTCTCTCAAAGACTGACTTGACCGTCGGAGGGGAAACGCCGAAAAACACTCCGGTACCCTTCTAACTTGTTCTTCTTTGTTCCAAGAATCTTTCTTCAGCCTTACTAGATCGTTCCTTTGATCCACGAGGGTCTCCCATTACCATTCCAGGTTACCACAGGATTTCACAGGCTGTTCCAAGCTGCGTGACTAACCACTCCACCGATTCACTCGAGTTCACCAAGGGAGAGATCTGTTCTCGTTTATATATTATGCAAGATTCAGCACGCACACCTGAAAAATTAATTTTCTAGTCTTAATTGGAATTTTTTTCTCTTTTCGACGGTTAAGATATTCGAGATAGTTTACGTGCACCTTAACTAATTTTTTCTCTAATTTAAATGAATTATTAAAATTTGAACTCAAAAATATTTAAATTTGTAATTCATTCATATTACCATTTAAACTATCTTTGAAGTTGTAATTTTTTTCTCCAATGAACTTGACATATGGCTCATAAATTATCTAATTTGTATGTCAATTTAACATTTAATTATGCAGACGGACTCGGTATGGTATTTTTATTCAAATTCGTTATTGATTTTAACGGACCGTCTCATGTATATATCAAATATATAATTTTAATTATTTTAATCGTTCACTCACGTGATATATGCATTTGCAACTCAACAAATTTAGACATAATGGTAATATTGAGTTAGATTATATAATTAAGAGATTAAATTGACATGTAAATTAGTTTTAGAACTTAGTTAACTCTGATGGCATATTTAAGCTACATCTTTTTTCTCTGTTGCGACTTTTAGGATATTTCTAGCCTCAGCTCTGTCTGGCCTTTTACGGCCCAACTTGACGGCTCACGAACAGCAGAATAGACCACAAATCAGAACAGTGGGCTTTTAGTCTTTGACCTGTAAGCCCCCAACGAACTAGCCCGCCGAAGATTCACCAAGGTTGGCTCATAGTTGAGCCGAGTTTATTGGAGCTGGTTATTTTAAATGAGTTTAAAAAATTATTTAAGTTCGATCCGTTTATTTAAAAACAAGTCAAACACAAGTAATTCAATTATTTTACATATAAACGAACCTAGTCCCCTGCCATGTCTCTCTACTTCATGTTTGTTCTTGCTTTTACGATGCATAGCTAAACTTTTAGTTGGTTAATCCAAGAGGGATATCCTCTTGGGTATGTGAAATCGAATCTTTTTCATTCTTTCTCGTAGTGTAAGGTGTTTGGTTTGACTAGGTTGAATGCAGACGTGGTTGTGGGTTTTTGATACATCTTAGACTTGTCGTGAAATATGCTTTTGACTAACACAACTTCATTAGTCCCTTACTTCCTACGAATCAATTAAACAGCGAGACACCATAATTTGTTCAAGTTCGATTCGTTTAGAAAATAAGTCAATCCCAAACTGAATCCCAAACAAACTGAACCTAAGCCGAGCACTAATAACTCGACTAGATTATCATCTCTACTCATCAGGTATAGAAAATTTTGTATGGGTGTGGTTCAAACAATTTGGTAAGAACAAAAAAAGGGGCAACAGCACTATACCAAATTAGCCATATTGTAACTCTCTATAAAACTTTCTTTTCTTTTCTTTTTTTGTATTGGATAATTGTCTGAGTAATATGTTTCTAATAATCGTAATTGTAATATAAATTCACCCTAGATCTCTTCCGTTAACCAAAACTTGACCTTTTTATTTGAAGTTATCCGGATGGTTATTTCCATAAAAATTTAGATGATTGATAGTTACAACCAACCTAGAGACCACTGAAAAAAGAAACTAAAGGCGAAATTTGACCGAGCCGAACCTAGTATCACACTGTTTGGGCTTGATATATTAGATCACGACTAGTTTTTGACGAGTTTTAAACATTTATTGAAATTTGATTTGTTAATATTTTTGTTCAAACTTAATTTGGCTTGGGTCAATTTGTCCAAATAAAAGAACATAGTTTGAGTTTGTATTCGAACATAATAAATTCGAGTTCAGATTCATTCACGATAAAGATTGGATTATTTATGCTATTGTGTATATTAAATAATATATACAGTAAATTACATATCAACTTTACGCAATATATAAGTGTGTGTGTGTGTCAATATAACATAGCTAATACTCGGGTTTGACTTATTTATTAAACGAGTTTAAATTAATGCAAAAGTTTGGTTCACTTATTAACTTGAAGTTAACGTTTTTTTTTAAATTAAGTATCAAAAAAAATTTATTTCTTTTTGGTGGAGCAAACTCGAGGGTTGTTGACCAAATTCAATTAGGTCAAATACAAGCAAAGTGAATGAATTAAGTTGCACTTGTCAAAAAAATTATCGGGTTTTGTACCAAGTGATATTACACATTCACAATCATGAAATAATGTACAAGAGTCGATAAAATTCACTAATACAGTAAATTGATACAGCAAAAGAGAAAAAAATTCATAAATTGTAGCATAGTTGGGCATTAACAACATTTCTTATTGTTGGGTTATTTTTTAAAATGATAAGAATAATTCCAACGAGGAGTGATATTTAAGGTGACAAACCCTTAACCGTCAAAATGTCATCCCATAATCAAAACAATTCACCCCAAATGGGGTAGCATCTGGGTTGGCAAAATGGCAACTATGGGTTTGGATCGACAAATTTGTCAACTTTGGAAAGGTAATGGGAGTGGTTGCAAAAAACGATGGAGTTTACTGTTTAGAGAAAGATAAAGGGAAAAGAGAAAGGGAAGGGGGAAGGGTTTGTCCGGTGTGGTAAATCGTTGTCCACTATTTATTTGAGGACAAATGATATATTCTATCCCAAACTTATTTTGTATTATCATATTACACTATTGATTATTTTGTATTGTCATATTACACAATTAATTTCTTTGTATTTTCATATTACATCATTAATTTTTAAGTTTTAATTTTTACTATAAAAATATATCTGTTAAATTGCGATCGTTATGAAAATTATATCCGTTAAAATATAATTGTTAAATTTAATTATATTTTTTAATAAAAAAAATTAAAATATTAAAATGACAACTCATTTTGACACATACTATTAGAGCATAAACACTGTTCAGGAGTGCTAAAATACTGTTCAAGATTATAAAATAGCATTTGATACCCCATTTTTGGGGAGTTGCTACAAGAGTATCAAAAATAATAAATTACAGTACTTGTACTTGGGATTAAAAATAATAAATTACAATACTTGGGGTTGGGGTTGGGGTTGGGGTTGGGGTTGGAGTTGGAGTTGGATTTATCTTTCAAAACTAGGCACAAAGGACAAGTTTTTTGCGACAGCACAGACAAAACAAAACAAAACAAAAATAAAGGCAAACTCAATGGCCTACAAGGGGTAGTAGTGAAGAACATAACATCATCGCTTCCTCCGCTACTGTTGCATGGTTATTTCAGAGAGGAGGAGGGGGGAGAGAGAAACGAAAGCGAGAACTCCACCTGTGTTTGGGTTTTCTTCATTGAAACCACTTGGTAACCTCCCCCCTTCTTATTTTCACTCTATATATTTAATATCTAAATTACCCTTCTTGTCAATTCACCGTATTGGTATGTTTGCACTTTATATCAAAAAAAAAAATCGATTATTAGCTCAATTTTTACATGCCCTTTTGGCAGTATCTTGTTTTTGAAGTACCCACTTGCCAAAAAAGTTCGAACCTTAGGAATTCATACAAACTTTGCTCTGGTTATGTAATGGAAATCTGAAGAAAATGGCTTAATTAAAGCTTTGGTATATATGGGTGGAAGAAAATTGCTAGGTGTTGCCAAATTTTGGAGCAGGGTTTATATGGTGTCAAGATGATGCTTTTTACCCTGACGGTATATTTGCAGTTGTTGGGAAAATGGTAATGGTATTTGGGATATCCCCAAACTCTTCAAAGTCTATTGATGATGGGTTAAATCTCAGATTGAGATCTTCGAATTTGTACACAAAATACATGTCATTGCCAGAACCCAGTTTTCGGATTGTTGGGGTACCCGAATTGGTGATAGGAGAGGCATGGGATGAGGGAGAGGAAGGGTTGTTGAAGAAGAAAAAGAAGAAGGGTGCTCTTAAATTGAGAATTAAGATTGGGAATCCTTCACTGAGGAGGTTAATTTGTGGGGCAATTGCGGGTGCTGTCACAACATTATCGGTTGCTCATCTGGAGACAATAAGAACTCATTTGATTGTTGGGAATTTTGGACACTCGATGGCTGAAGTGTTTCATAATATCATGAATACTGAGGGATGGACGGGCCTATATAGGGGTAATCTGGTTAATGTCATTCGGTTTGCTCCTAGCAAGGCGATTGAGGTATCAGAGAATCCACTTTGTTTTATGAACTTCTCACTGTTATTTTGGTGTGGGTGGGTGAGGGCGTGTGTTATTGTGCAGGATTTTGGTAGTTTGTTTGATTGCTTAATTTTGTTGCTCAGTACTTGTTTGCTAGACTACTTGATCCACCGAATAACCATTTCATGCAAGATGTAATCCTTTGTGAAAATAATAATCTTGAGTTGTTCATGCACAAAGCTGAGCTCTCTCTCTCTCTCTCTCTCACACGTGTGCACGCACTCTCATTTGGCATGGATTCTAATGAGTTAATTTCACTGCAATTGTCATTATTTGAGTTATTCTTTCAGAACATCTCACAATCTGTACTCTTCTTCATTCCTTATTGCTATTCTAGCCTATCTAGTTTGAGGTTCCCATACAATTGATTTCTCATGGATAATGAGCAAGTTTCATTTTTAGTTTAATCTGGACCAAATGACTTACTTGGCACAAAATGTGTACCTTTTATTATAATTTTGAGGAATGCTGATTTGCTTTTTATATTGCTTTAGTCAAGGTGTCGTCAACATGAGTTTCTTAACTTGCGAGATTCAGATATTCCACACTAATGTCATGGATCCATTGACTACTATAATTACTGTGATGGGCTCGAATGTTTTGCAAGAACTCTAGCTGAAAATTTCTGATTGGATTTGATTCCTTCTCAGCTTTCCTTTCTCCCTTTCTTTTTACTTTTTCTTTTGTTCCCTGGATTTTTTGGGCAGGAAGATGGGGGAAGGAAGATCTAGTGAAAAATGTTCTAGTCAAAATCTCTTGGTGCATTAGTTAATCAAAGAAAAAAAGGATTATGCATTGCTCTTTTAGTGAAGCTCACTAATTACATTATTGTTTCGTATTATAATTGGTGTCATGTTTACAATTTTTTCTTAAAATCGAAAGGACCACTTCTTTAGTTTCTTTGGACCCATCTTGGTAAAAATTGGTACTCTGTCAATTGTACCTTTGTATCATGAAATTTATGTCAATAGAATGTTCTCAGCTTCTTTCATTCACTTCTTTCTCATCTTGGTGTGTTTTACTTATCCCTAATATGATTCTCCAATTAGTGAAATCAAGTTAACTTCCTGATCTTACAAGACAAGCCCATTTATATGCAACCATCAGCATAATTCTCTCCCTGTCTCTCCTTATGTGTNCCTGATCTTACAAGACAAACCCATTTTTATGCAACCATCAGCATGATTCTCTCCGTGTCTCTCCTTATGTGTGTGGGTGTGTGTTCATGTTCCACTTTCTCTGTGTTCTGGTGTTATTTGGTGCATATTTGGGTACAATTTTTGTTTTTGTCCTTCCAATTAAGTACTTTGCCATTACTCTGATCGACAGAAATTTAACTTGCTAGTGTATATGTGGTCCCAGATTGAGTTGAATGTAAAACGATGTATGAGACCTTACTGTCCATCCTGCCTTCTTCAACGAGTTATGTCTCACTGGAAAGGAATCCCTACTAGTTGGTGTCCTTAGTTTGCTGAAACTTGCTGCAACAATGATGAATGTTTTTATAGAACAGCAAATACATACTGTTTCTGGTAAGGAATTTGTTTGTGGGGACATAAGCTATCAAGTAACGTCATATATGCATTAGTTTTGCCCATGTAATGTCCTCTTGGCGAGATTTTAATTACTGAAATAGTATTTGAAAAACAATCCGACAGTAAATGAGAATTCAAGTTCTGAAATAAAAGCCCAAGAACATCAGACAGTAAACAAGATTGGGTTCCTTGGACCTCAAATTTTTAGTTACCAGTTTCTTCCTGCCCTGCCTTAAATGATTTTATTCCTTATGTGCATGCGTGGAACTTTTTGCAGCTATTTGCTTTTGACACAGTTAAGAAGCACTTGACACCTAAACCTGGAGAACAGCCCAAACTACCAATACCTGTATCTCCAATTGCAGGTGCTATTGCTGGAATGAGCTCTACCTTATGCACATACCCACTTGAGTTGCTCAAAACTCGACTAACCGTCCAGGTGTACAGAATAGCATTGGGATTTCATATATTTACAGCATTAACTATGAAGTTGTGGCTTGTTATTTATGGATATCGTGTATTTGCAGAGGGGTGCTTACAAGAATCTTCTAGACGCTTTTCTGAAAGTTCTGCAAGAAGGGGGACCTGTAGAACTTTACAGAGGCCTTACCCCCAGTATAATTGGAGTAATCCCATATGCCGCCATTAATTATTTTGCTTACGATTCATTACAGAAAGCTTACAAGAAGGTTTTCAATCAGGAGGAAATTGGAAATATTGCAACTCTCTTTATCGGATCAGCAGCTGGTGCCATTTCAAGTAGTGCAACTTTCCCACTTGAGGTGGCTCGCAAACACATGCAAGTTGGTGCTCTCAATGGGAGACATTACAAGAACTTGCTTCATGCCCTTTCAAGCATACTCGAGAAGGAAGGGTTTCCTGGTCTGTACAGTGGGTTGGGCCCAAACTGCATTAAATTGGTCCCTGCTGCAGGAATTTCTTTCATGTGCTATGAGGCATGCAAGAAGATTCTTACCGAGGAAGAAGATGATCCATAAAGATGGGAAACGCAAATTCTGAGGTATTTACTAAGACACATTAGATTTATTTTCAAGCTCATACTGTTTTTGGTGAGAGAGAATTTCAAAGCAAAATAATAGCAGTATTTTCTTAATGTGATCCTGTCTAGTTTATGTTCTTCCATAGGATTTGGTTCAAAGATCATATCTATGAAACGAAACTTAAATTGGGCTTTTTTTTCGCCGCATTGATCGAGCTTATATCACAGAATTGAGATATCTGATGTTTGACAGGCATTTGAAATGGAATATCTGGAATGTTAGCTCCCATACATTCCTCATTTTGTTTTCTGTAATTTGGTCTAGCAACAAGTAACATGATAGAACAATAATGCTACTCAACATATTTTCTTACCAAAATAATGACAGATTTCCATTGACAAGAGTTTTTTAGCGGAGAAATTCAAGAGCTGAAAGTTTCCAAAATTTGATCAGTATCCAAAACCCGAACCCTCAAACGGAGTCAAATGAAAAATTAAAAATAAAATAAAAATATATGCAGAACACATAATATGTTTACCCATGATTTTCCTCACTCATTTTTTTTTTCTCACTAGTGTTCTTGCATTTGTCGTAGTTGCAAAGATACAAGAGAACAAACATATCGCATGGGGTCTATATATGCTTTCAAAACCATATGACAATGGGACAATCACAGGACTGAAGTCACTGCACTGTGCACATATTGGGAAGTAAGCACAGATTTGGAAACTTACAAGCTCGGTGGGATAACATTTTTTGTAATTACAGCATAATTTTCAGAGTAAGAAACTTGGGTAAAACAGTAACGTAAGCTATAGGAGCAATCTGATCTCATTTCAGTTAAGCTAGATTCCAAACATTGTCGATATATGTATTTGTATGAACATGAAATATCCCAACAAGCTTTAACATGATACTTCCCAAAGGTATATCATCATTTAAACTTTGCATTGATAAACAGATAGAACGTGCAAGTCAATAATGGAAATTGCTAATAGAAAATTCAATAATACATACACCAAAGAATGTATAATTCGAAAACACCATTATCATGTCAAATGTGTTCAGCAGACAAGCCATAAGAATCAAATAACAAAATCTAATACTGAACAGATGAAGTTCATTTCCGCAATCCTAAAAAAAATCCCCAAACAGCTACCAAGATCATTCAGGAATAGTACCTCTGATATCTGTAAACAACTAAAGAACTAGTCGAATTAACTGCATTACCTAACTACAGACAGTAAAACCAACAAAACTTGAGTAGGCAGAGCCCCTTTCAGCTCTGCTCATCACCATCTGCAGCAGCCCTCTCCTCTGCAGCAGCTGCCATTAATTCATCAAAGTTCTCTGTCTTCCCCAGCAATATCTCAATCTAAAAAACAGAATTCCAATTGATGTTAAACTCAATAGTAAGTACAACTTAGTATAAATGATTACAGAGAATGGAACCTAGAAACCCACTGTGTAAACCCCCTTTATATCAACAAGTCCAACAGCAAACAGATGGGTAAATAATTAAAATCAACCCACAAAATCCATATGCAGCAGAGAAAAATACATGAAAGGGCTGCAGAGTCATACTATGTAGGCGTACATAAATATAAAAAATAAAAAAGGCGTATCTGACCCAAATCCTAGACATACACCACATTACAAAACTTACCTTGGCTTTAGAGATGGGACGCCCTCTCGATTCATCCTTCATATCAACATTAGATGTCATGATCTCTGCAAAATTATAGTCATTAGGTTTGCGGAGAAATACGAAGAGTAAACAACTTTCTCTTTTCTGAAAAATAAACTATCAAAAGTCTTACTCTTCTCAACAGCCAATCCATTGTGTTTTAAAATTTCAGCAACGGTGACAACTGTGGCAATAGCTGCAGATATGACAGTATGAGCTCATCAAAAACGGAAAATACCATGAAGAAGCTATAGACTACTGTAAGAGTCTAGTTTTCTGCAGATGATATCTAAATAAAATTAGCATGGATACCATGCACATGAAATTATTTCTGATAAATTATCTAGAAAGCATAACTATATGATTTTCACTCCCCCTCAATTAAGAGGATGGAAAGAGACAATGAAATTTCGGACGTTCAAACTTACACAATCCTCGGAGAGAAATAGATATTATTTTTATGCAATACACACACGAAAAAATGAAAGCCAGGCATTCAAACTTTTTAATTATGCGGCATAAAACTTTGCAGATTTCACGAGGGCTACAGAAACAAATAAGAGAGAGGGGTGATGGGGGAGAGAGAGATGAAATAGACATCAGAAGAATAAAAGATGGGGATGGGCACAATACCGTTTGTGAAGGCGTTTTGGTAGGACACTATCAAACCTTGCATCCACACGTGCACTCATGTACTAGGGATGGGCAGGCGAGAGAGAGGAGACAAGGGGGGGAAAGAAGACAACAAATAGACGAAACCAACAAATTGTGGGGGCTTCAATCGTTGCAATGCAGGAACAATGCAAAACCATGGCTCACCTTGCGATGTCACCTAGGGGCTCATAAGAGGTGGTTGTGGTTGGGAATGTCCGAAACAAAGGGCTAGCTAGTTCTGGTGCCAATTAGTCCTTATGCTGCAAGGGTTGACGGTACCTCATGTGTCCATGGTGTTGCAAGCAGATGAGTAGTCTTGGTTCCGCCTGCGTTCCACCATACCACTTCTTCCACAGGCACCACTAACTAACTTGCTATTCCTATCCAAGAAGAGAATGTGGTGGATAGTGCAAATCGCGTACCTCTTAAAATATGTATTTAAAGAAGATACAAGTCTCATCTTCGTTGCTGAATCTTACATGTGATTAAGCTGCACAGGTGACGCAAATTATAAAAACGTCATTTGCTCACCAATCAAAAGGGAAAGGATTATTATTCACTCAATCCAGAGACGCGTCTCTCTACACACCACATCTCTCTCTAACATGGGGTCTACTCTCCCTTATCTCTTCTACTTCAACAAATTAACTTTTCTCGAGTCTCTTTGGAAAGACATGTACAAATCCTAACACTTGGGTCGATCCACGTAATATTTCAAGTCATTCTGCTGTTCCAAGGACCAATAGGGAAATGAGTTTCATGCTTTAATAACGTTTACAATATCTGCCTTCTTCTTTAACCTTCTCACTGAGGGACACCCAGAAAAAACAAGAACATATAGAAGTTTCAGGGGAAAAAAACAATCACTAGACTTATAGACACAATACTTGCGACAAAGCAGAGTGACATTGGAGAAAACAATAAATACACTTACACACATAATATAACCCTCAACGTGATCAATAATGAAAAATTAACAAGAGGTTTAAACTACACAAGCCATTGTCGGAGAAAGAAAAAAAAATAAAAAGGGATATGAGAAAGTACCCATGCCAAGAGCTGAAAGTTCCACTTCATTGTACTGTTGCATATACCTCTGCAATCACAAATTACCCATTTACTCAATACTTTACCACAAAATAGAAAAACAAAGCTAGGGACATAAAACACCAAACTCACTCATTCCAGCCCAGAACCTATACCTAAACTCCAGATCCAGAAAATCAGAACCTAGATTTTTTTTATGGATTAACAAGAACCCCTGAGTTTTTATTGATGGATAATTCAAAACCCAAATTTCATACGCATCCATATGTATTATGTGTGGATACAATTAGGAAGAGAGAAGGGAAGAGATACCTTGGCGAGATTGACGTAGAAGAACAAGGGTTTCTTGGTGTTGGAGACCTGAATCCGATTCTTCTTGTAGGAATCGCCGGTTAAGGTGATGTTGGTCACTCCCTCGGTTATCTCTTCCATCTCTCTCTCTTTCTCTCTCTCACGCAGAGGATTGATAAAATCCTTATAACAGACTAGAAAAAACAGTTAGCGTCAGGGATGTGGGCGCTTAAACTAAAGGCGGTGTGTGCGTGCCTCCAAGTGATCCTGTGTATCAAATGTTCGTTATTTCAAAGGAGATCCCACGTGATAACGTGGGCGTGATATGATTGATAAATAATTTCATAATAAATAAATAAATTATGTAAATTAATAACTATTCAAGTAAAGTTCATTTTATTTATTTGGTGTTTTATTATTAATTAGTAATACCACTTTAATATTATTAACATAATATCGTCGTTGCATTGAATATTTCCTCTAGAAACAGATTGGTGAATCAGAGTTTTAATTTGTATTTGAGTCTCCTACGTTGAGTAAATTTAATTTGAATTATTTGAATTCATATAATTATTAATAAAAAAATAAAAGGGTCAATGAGTCATTATTTTTTTTACATAATTTTATTTTATGGTAGATCACTCACCATATATTTATGTGAAACTCATTATTTATATGTAGATCATTCACCTATACTATACACGATGAATAATCTAGTGAAATTGTGAAAAAATAATAGAGAAAATTTAAATTTCATCGATCTTGAGAGGGTAGACTCGTAATGGCTGCTTTTTAAAAAAAAAATTCTAATTTGGCCCTCATTTTGGGTTTTTTTTTTTTTAAATCTTTTTCTATTTTCCTTTTTACTTTTTTTGTCCTATTGCCCTTGTTCTTCTCCCCGAAAAAAACTTTCTATGTTGTTATATCGAATAAATCAGCAAGGAAATGCCTTGAGAAAATTTTCTTTCCAATTTTTTTAAATTATTAAAAAAATATTTTGTAATCAAATCAGAAATCTTCTTACCCTTTTAACTTCCATAACTTTCATAGAATCTTCTAATGAAAAAAAATTTCACACATAGGAGTAATTATTTATGTTTGAAGATGAGTAGATGTCATAAAATGAGAGGAGAATGTAAATACAGAACATCATGAGACGACCATTAATTTTGATATAACATCATTATTAATTAGGGGTGTTCAACCGACCCTAAGGGTCCGAAGTAGGCACTTCTATTGACTGAACCGATTAGAGTCGGAGGTGAAAATTGATAGCCGAATCAAACCCTTTCATAAGCCTTACCGAATTGTTAACCAACCCCTATAGTCAGTCGGTTTACGGTTGGGTAACGGATGATATTTGTATCAGAATCTATCATTTTCAAAGCCAAAAATCATTATTTTCAGATACAATTGTTATTATTAATTTGTATCATAATCTTCAGATAAACTCAATATTGTTCAAATCTAAACTCAATATTGTTCAAATCTAAACGATATGGTTCAGATCTATGCCATGGACAGAAGGAGCTTGTGGTCGACTAATTTGTATCAGCATCTCCAAATCTACTCATTAGAGTTAAGATCTTAACGATGTAGTTTAGATCTACGCCATGGACAGTAGGTGTGATAAAAGTGAATGAAGATCAAAGAACATAAGAAAGAAGAAGAAGAGGAGAGGCAATAGGTATTGTGTTTTGGATTCCATGATTATTGGCTCATTAAATGGCTATTACATTTGAAAGAGGGAAAAGGAGGTTGATTCGCTGAGAGTTATGAGAGGTAAGGGTGGGGGTGTTCTAAGAAGAAATAGTAGGTTTTGGAGGTTTTATATTTTTTTAATGGGTAAAATAATATTTTTATATTATTATCCGATTCGATTCAGGCACGTGGAGTTATGACTTTTACTTACCCGTCATCCAAAACGAATCATTCGAGTAAAGCTTTGCATCATAGAAAAACCAAACCGCATGCGCCCATTTTTGTCAGGTTCTATCGGGGATGGGTCAGTTAATTGGGTAAACGGTTATTCGGCACACCCCTATCACTAACACATGGAGTAATGACTTTCTGAGTATTGAGGGCGTATCAATTGAAATTATTAAGACAACCACCCGACATTCACAATGCTTCCTGTATTATCTGGACAATCATATGTCTAATACAACATTCCGAAACAAAAATCACTGTCCTGATTTCACGAGGATTAGGCTTCTAAACTGGAGAGATCCTGGCAGCAAATATGAAAGCGCAACAAGAACCCAACACAAAATAGAACATTTATAATTTTAGTCAAAAGATCCACAAGAGTTTGAGCAATCATCTTCTTTACAAACAGTAACAGACAGAAAAATGACCAAACCATAAACTTCCTGCATTACTCCTCCCAAAAGTTAATCCATCCATGACAGCAACAGCCAATGAGATTTTGTCCGATCAAACAAAAAGATAGAAACAACTCATCATATCTATCAACAAAAGAACTCGTGTAACCCAAAGCATGTATACGAACCTGAATTCTGTCATTTATGTCACCATCCTGTAATTTGTCTTTAGTAAAACCCGAGAAGTCAAACTACTGTTTACTATATCTAACATCATAATGCTATAGGGGTACTTAACAAAAGCAGAGCAACAAGAACCGCATATTCAGTCCCAACCATCGGTAAAATCAGATTCATCATGGACACGCCCATAACTCTGTGAACTGGCTGCAGAGAAATTGGAACTAGCTGGAGCAGCATAATCAGCACAGTAAGGAGCAACATAAGTATTTGCCACATAAGAATTAGCTGGAGCAACACTATCACCATACTGGCTTGAATAGCAATAATTTCCACTCATGACACGGGCATCATTTCTGATGTCATGGCTGCCAAACTTGTTGCCTCCATAGCGGTTACCTTGACGGCCGCCATCATCATCACTACCATAATATTCCGCAAATTGAGTCAGCCAGGGTGGAACTTCTTGATTTGCTTCCTGCATGAGTTTAAAAAGTGCCTTTGCGAGGGGTATGTTCTTGTCACTGAAAAATGCTGTTGCTAACCCAGATTTACCAGCACGACCAGTCCGACCAATCCGATGCACATAGTCATCTATGTTTTTGGGCAGGTCAAAATTGATGACATGGGCAACATGTGGGATGTCCAGACCCCGTGCAGCAACATCAGTCGCTACCAAGATGGGAGTAACTCCAGTCTTAAAAGATCTCAATGCCCGTTCTCTCTCCTAATTCCATTAAAAATACAAGAAAATATATGAAGGGCTGGAAATTTAGAAGGAACCAATAAAAATTTCTCAAGTTTTTGACAGACTTTCTAAGTGGTCATTAAATCCCAGACTTGCAGGGAAAAATATAAATTTGACTGTTTCACAAGAGAACTATAGTAAAACAATAGTCAGTCCCTTTACAAGAGAACTATAGCCAAACAATAATCCGTCACTTGTCTAGTCCAAGAATTCAGAACTTAAATCTCACGCATCTGTTCACTATGCTTAAGCCAAACATTTCACACCAAATGTGTTCATATCCAATGGAAAATAACCTTGTCCATTGATACTGAGAAACTTCAGGAAATATAAAACATCAATGCTACACATACCAAATTTTTGACACATATTTGATATACCAAATAAATGTGGGTGGTTGGATTAGTGGGTCCCACTAACTCTCACTAACCATAAAATACTAATGATGCCATATAGAGAAGTATGTATAAATATTTGGTAGATGCAGCTTTATTCGATTTAAAATAGTAATGCTGATCCAGAGACACTAGTGGCAAATTTGGCCAATAAGATGCAACTAACAAGCAATTAGTGTTCCAAACGCAAAATTTTTCTTAACTGAATATAGAATCAAACAAAGAAACAACACAATAACAATCAGAATTTCCTCAACAACTGTTTTCCCTCTTCTTAAGTGAAGAAGATGCAAATGTTTGATGTCATACTGATGCCAACAAAAAATAGAGAAACCTAAAAGCAAAATTTCAAAGCAGACAATGCATTCTGATTGATGCATAGTGGTAAAACATAAACAACATCCGAGCATGGTTTTCATGCCCCAGTATATAGAGTGAAAAAGAAAGAAAAATGGCTAACCATCTGTATTTTGTCACCATGTATGGCAGTAGATGAAAAACCGTTCTTGTATAACCACTGCTCTAATGCATCTGCTCCTTTCTTTGTTTCCACAAAAACAAGAGTCAAAGCCTGCTCCATCAAGACAATACAGTTCTGATCAATCAGCGAAATTATTAAGATAATCAATGGAAAATGTAGCGAGAAGAAAGACGTTTAACAGATATGCAAAACTATGATGAAACTGCTATTGTGCTCATTGTACCTTTCCATGGGTTCCATTTGCCCACTGGGCATTAAGAAGACTCTTCAAATAATTTCTTTTGTCCATGTCCGAGACAAATTCAACTCTTTGATCAATCAGATCAGTGCTGGATCCAACCCTTCCAACAGTTAGAAATATGTAGTTTGAAAGAAAATCTGATGCAAGCTTCTGCAAGAATAAATTAATGCTGATGTCAGAACAGCTAAGAAATTTTCCTAGACAAGGTACAGAAAAGAGGTATGAAACCTATCATCAAACAATATTACTTTATTTATAAAACTAACACCCAACCACACAATTGCATCAAGTGATATAAAAAGCAATCTGCTAAAATTTTGCTCCATGAAAGAAAGATAATAGATCTTCTATTGATTTGCTCTCAAATTTCTTCTCCTGGTTGGGTAAAAAAAATTACACGCACAATGAAAAATAACACTCACTGGAAATACGTACTTTTATGCAGGTAAAGTTAACTTCATTGTCACAAGACAAATGAACAACATAAATCTGAATTTTGACCAAATAAAAGAAATATTTAGCGATTTAGTTAACGAACTTGTATATCAGTTGGAAATGTTGCACTGAAAAGCATTGTCTGCCTTGCACCTGGTGGAGGCATCTCCATCTGCTCAACAATTTTTCTTATCTGGCGCTCAAAACCCATATCCAACATTCGATCGGCCTCATCCAAAGCCAAATACTTGACTTTTTGGAGAGAAACTCTTGCTCTCTCTATCATATCCACCAAGCGTCCTGGAGTGGCAACTAGGATGTCAACACCCTGTTCCAAACAGCGAAGCTGCAGAAGCAGCGTTAAGAAAGAACAAAATCAGCAAACTCGGGAAAAAGTATAAGCTCAAGAGTTCGATAGATGGAAAAAAATTGGATGGTACACTGCAGTCATGGATCAAGCAACAGGTATAGAATTACTTGATCTAACTGATAATATGTGATAACAGGGGAAAATGAAAATAAATGTTAATCTCAAAGAAAACAAAAGTACAACCAAGATAGAATCTTCCTCTTTAAAGAGAATCATAAGTTGCACCTATTAGCACCATGGTACAACACTAGATATTGAGTCATACAAATCCAACTACATAGGGTTACATGGTATTCTTCATGGAAACAGTTACCATCATTCACTTGGAGAGGCAATTGTCAACGTACATTTCACTAGCCTCTTGTCATCAATAGATCATTGAGAAAATCGCACCTTAAACTGGGCAAGTAAGAAATTAAGAACAGCACAAAAATGCAACCAGTAGACATCAAAGTTACAAAAACAACCAATGATACCATAATAAATGTACTCCATTAATATGCACTTTGTACATGAATACATTACAATAATGGGGGCTCAATAATGATTACTAAGAGAAAAAAGAAAAATGGGAGCTCATAAGTCAACCAATGCTCATTGCTCATGTAATTCACCTATGATGCTTACTCATTATTAGGTGATCCTCAAGCAAATGATGACAACACAGATTAGTTCAGTCCCATGGTATAATGCAGGTTTTGCGGTAGATGACCAAAAGTCATTTTAAAGGTGCCACTAAACAACACCACACCCCAACAAAACCTTAGTTCAAAGTGAACTGCTAATTAAAATTCCTTCAAATGCTTTACAAATTGACATGGCCATGAAAACAGTATCAATAGGATATGATACACGATAAACTTGACAACAAATTCAGTAAGGGTCTGTTTGGAATGGCAATTGTCGAATGCCCCTAATTATTTTTACATCAATCTCTTCATCTCAATTCTATTTAAGGATGTAGTTGGAAATAGTGGATGCCTAGTATTCATTGGGCCCTAACATCCAATGCCCAGTGGGTGGAACGGAGCAAAGCGAAAAGCCTATTGAAGATATCAACTATTGTTTGCCAGGGGTCGAATAGTGGATTTGGGGGTGTAGGCAGCATAGCCACCCACATTATGTTACAGCAATACTAGGTATTTTCAAATGAATACTTGATATGTGTTTTGCAACGATTTGGTATATCAAAATTTATCAGTATTATTATTAATAAAATAGTTGTTTCTTATCAAAAAAAAAAAAAAAATTATCAATGTCATGTTTATGCAATTGACCAGGATTGACATTCTAAAATGGTGCCTATAAATAAATTGTAGCCTTAATGGGTTTCTCATAGTGTGAAAACAGTCGGTCGATCCCATTTATGTAGTTCATTGTTTTTAATTCTCTTTTTTGTTTGATTGTTCACCACACTATATGTCACAACAGATGTATTTCAATTTAATTTTCAAACTTTCAAGGAAGCAAATTTTACTCTCCTTTTTTTCTTCGCTGATTGACAAGTGTAGGATGGGGCAACCAGTCATGGATGACTCTGCGTGATCATATGAATCCTCACCCATTGGGAAACAGTGACGGCAAGGCCTAAACAGATGGAACGAGCGGTGCTCCCTAAAGACCATTGAGCCATAACCTGACAACAGACCTATTAAGGGCCAGAAATGCTAGAGCAATATGAACAACACTAGAAGAAAGGAATCAGTACATTATTATCTCCAAGATTAGACTCATTATTCATTGGCCTCCTGGGGGTTTTCACCCACAAACGTGTTTGCCACCACACCACACAGTCAGTGGTGAAGCAGGATATAGTTGCTTCCCCTTTTATGTTTGAGATAAAATTTTCATCACAAGGGCAGAACCCTCGGCTCCCTAGCAGAGTTCATCCAATCTATATACCACTTTATCTCTTCTCTCTCAAGCCCATATATATGTACATAGGTCAACTTTAAAAAAAAAAAAAAAGAGGCATCCTCATAGGAAAGCGGTAACACCCGTAAGGTGCTTGCTTTCCGTTTTACATCTATATCATCATGCTAATCAGAAATGTTACAACCCAGTTGTCATATTGCATCTTTAGTGNGCAACCTCATAGGAAAGCGGTGACACCCGTAAGGTGCTTGCTTTCCATTTTACATCTATATCATCATGCTAATCAGAAATGTTACAACCCAGTCGTCATATTGCATCTTTAGTGACAGATTTACAAAAAGTCAATAGCAAAACAATGAAAAAAAAACATCCGTAATAATAAGTGACCCATTGCACAAGATCCACAAGTGTTTCCCACACAATCAAAGATTCTAAGACCAGTATACATAAAGACAAAAAGCAATTAGACTTAATAACAACAAAATCACTAACAAATCATAAAACACAAACCTGCTGATCAATTGATGACCCTCCATACACTACCACAACCTTAACCCCGGTCTGATAAGCAAACTTCTTTGCCTCCTCATGTATCTACAGAAAACCGAAAGCCCCGTTACTCCTTCACACATATCAACCCAAAATCGACAAACCCAAGAATAAAAATTAAAATCAACAAAATTCACCTGGCAAGACAATTCTCTAGTTGGAGACAAAATTAGAGCACGAGGACACGCCACCTTCACACCCCACTTGGGCACTGGCGTCATCGTATTATCCCTCAAAATCCCACTAATAATGGGGAAACAAAACGCCGCCGTTTTGCCTGAGCCGGTCTGAGCACAAGCCATCAAGTCCCTACCAGCTAATGCTATTGGTATTGCATATTTCTGTATTGGTGTTGGCTTAACGTATCTACACCTCCCAATATTATCACTCAGAGCCTTGCCTAAATCGATTTCAGCGAATGAGCTCACAGGTGGTGGTATGTCAAACCCACTAGTCTCCACTGGTATATCCTCATATGCATCAAAGTTGATCAAAGTGTCCTCAAACACCTCCAGTTCATCAAACTTTTCAACAATATCAAATGGGTCAGTGTTTTCTTTTGTGTTAGAACCGTAGTTAGCTTCTCCGGAAGGGACCCAAAATTTGCCTTGGCCTCGGCCTCGGCCTCGGCCACCACCACGGCCTCGTCCCCGGCCACCGTCTCTGCCTCGGCCTCGGCCACGACTTGAAACGGCTCGGTTGAATCGGTCTGATGAATCGGTGGTGAAACCAAATGGCTTGACAAAGACATTACGACCGGTGACGCTGTTTCTGAGGTTTGGAGGGACATATGTGGGTAGACTCGACCGAGTTGTTCTTCTCTGTGTAGATTCAGTTTGAGGTTCATCATCAACCCATGACATTGTTATCGTCTGATATGAAAAACACAAAAACCCTGGACTGAGTTTGAGCTTCGAAGTTCAAATAGAATGGCGAAAATGACGATTAAAGACCGAAACCAAGACCTTAAATATTGTAACTACAGAACGACAATGAAACTAAAGACCGTAATGCATCATTGAAATGAAACGATAGAGACTCCATAGTACGGACAAGGTAATGCTGTAAAAAGCTACTGCTACATATAGCTGCTTTTGCGTGTGTGAAGGAGGGTAAGGACTACGCGATGAATGAAGGAGCTAAAGAGACGAGGAAGCTTGCATTGTGAGTAGTGCAGAGGTAGTAGTAAAATGATGAGGTTTGATTTCCCATAGGATCTAGAAGCTGTGAAACCCTAGGAGAGAGAAAGTGGGTTTCGAGGTAGAGAGAGAAAAGGGCGACACTCACTCCCTCGGGGGGGGGGGGGGGGGGGG